GGCCTTACATTCTCGTGAAATAAAATGAATAAAATACTAAATATTCGTAATGAAAACGATCACCCCTTCAAAAAGGTTGAGGTATGGTCCTCTGTAACCTCAGAAACCGCACTCTCCTTTAATTCTCTAAGCAAACTGACACTTGGGCTGTGGTACGTGGTTGACCCATTGGCTATCGGCAAAAAGATAAAAGGAAAATGCCTGCCACGATTTAAGTCATATGTTACCAGGGCTAGAGCATTTATTCAACTCGAAGGTGGGTAGATGACTGCTGATGTTTAATGTCTCGTAATCACTGCGCATATCGATTTATCGTAGGTATAACTAGATGCCATTCACAAACTGATATATTTCTCTAACCAATACTGAATGGTTGTGTTGTGACTAGCTGGCGTCGAAGTGCACTTTCTCAAAGGCCCACCGATGCAGTTTTCGACGTCTGCCAACAGCCAATCACAGATGGCATCGGTTAGGGCGGCTTCTTAACACTCCCATGTCATTAAACATCAGTAAGAAAATTGCTCTGACCGTTCCTGTATTTTTTTGTTCGGATTTTCCTTTTTTTATTGGTTCCAAATATAACCTATCCTTTCGAGGGTTTGGGGCAGAGGTTATATCGAAAAGGGTTGACGGTGTGGGGGAGAGTTAGGGTGATGAGAATCTTGCTCCGATAGGCGCTGCAAGTGAGAGGAGGTGCGAACCTTTATATTGTGGACCACGTGTCCCTGGGACGCCGAATCAGTGCAGTTCTACTTGGCCGAGCACAGATAGACTGTTGATGCTGTTTGTGCCGGACTGCAAAGCTTCGATAAATTATCGTGTCTGCCTTATATCTGCCACTTCAGTTCCGTCCTAATTGAAACGGTGACCACAATCAACAACGTGAGCAAACACGAGAGGCAATGGATCACGTCTTCGGATGGCCAGCTTATATTCATTTATGCGGGTCCCGATTTTCTCACTTGTATGATCTAGGTAGACAATTGGGCAATCATTATGCTGAATGCTGCCAATTACATTGGTTTGGTGCTCTTGCGAAACGTGGTCTTAACGTGTAAACCTAGAGGGCTAAATATATCCGACTTTCGGAGTGCACTAATAAATTATAATTACGCCTACTTACGTATATATAGTAGGTTTATAAGTATATGAATGTATGTGCTCCGCCGATCGGGCTTCCAACCCTTCACATTGAGTATGACCG